GCCTCTTGAGGACCTTGAACAGCAGCAGGGAGTTCCCAAGAGGTACAGTGTGTCTCTGGCAGGTCTGGAGCAAGGTCCTGGTCCTGTCTTGTGGGGAAAGGAACACCCTGGGGGGGAGGGGCACTGAAGCTCCAGGGCTTTGTCCTTGACATAGATCTCATCCCCCTCTTTCCCCTCCCTGCCCAGAGCCTCACGGGTGGCCTGGACGAGGCTAGAAGTTCCCCTGGACTAGGTCCCTCCCTCCTGCTTATTTTGGCTTTGTTATCTTCACCTGGGGCAACAGATTTATTCCCAGGGTGCAGAGGAGATGACTTCAGACCTCCCCAGCCAGAGTGCAGCCTCAACAATTTCTGGCCTCCAGTTCTGTGTGAGGGAGCTGGGTCGCTGGCTGGGCAGACCAAGGGACAGACCCCTGGTTTCCCAGGCATCTGAATCAGGGACTGGGCTTTCCAATGACATAGCAGGTGAGGGCCTGGCTCAGAGTCAGGCTCTGACCTCCTGATGAGGGAATCAGACAAGGGGCAGGCTCAGCTGCCCTCAGGACAGCCAGATGGGTAGCAGGAAGTGAGTGGAGTAACGTCATCCAGTATCTGGGCAGCAGGTCCCATGCCTTCCTAGAGTGCTCTCAAGGGGTCTCTCTGAGTCTGTGCTGGGCACTGATGAAACCAGCAAGGAGCAGGGGTGGGGCCTTCCCTGAGGGCTCACAACCCCAAGAGTGTCAGCTAATGACCACAGTCACATTAGGGACATACACTGAGTAGTATAGTGGCTCAGATGCAGGTAGCTTTAGAGACATCACCTGGTGCGATTCTGTAAGGAGGGTGCCATGGTCCCATTTCACTGAGTAGGAAACAGGCCAGAGAGGAGACAGGGCCAGCCTAGCCTTTCCAGTGTGTTAGGGACCCTGCGATGTCCTAGGCTTGGCACCAGGGACACCTCCCAATGTGCTCATGGTTTGCAAACTTTCTTTTCTTTTCTTTCTTTCTTTCTTTCTTTCTTTCTTTCTTTCTTTCTTTCTTTCTTTCTTTCTTTCTTTCTTTCTTTCTTTCTCTTTCTTTTCTTCTTTCTTTCTTTCTTTCTCTTTCTTTTCTTCTTTCTTTCTTTCTTTCTTTCTTTCTTTCTTTCTTTCTTTTCTTTCTTTCTCTCCCTCTCTCTTTCTTTCTTTCTTTTTAATATTTTATGGTTGTTGGTGGCACAATGACTTTATTTTATTTCTATATGGTGCTAAGGATGGAACCCAGTACCTCACACATGAGAGGCGAGTGCTCTACCACAGAGCTACAACCCCAGCCCCAACTTAAAAAAAGAAAAAAAGAAACTCTAAATTAGAGAGAAATCCAGTACGTAAAACAAATCAAAGTAGAGCTGAAGTTGTTGGAGCGGGGATGCCAGAGGCCTGCCCACCCAGCCTCCCCTCCTGGGGATAATATAAGCCCTAAGGAAGCTCAGGCAGAGTTCTGAAGGCTTTGTGTGGCTGCAGCCGCACTCTCTGGCAACAGACCCAGCTCCTGCACCTGAACAGTATTCAGAGGCGGGCACTGAAGAGGTGGGGGTGGCCAGCGCCCAGTGCCTCCTGGATCAAGCATCTCAGGCCACCCGCTGGATGTGGTGTTTCTTTCACTTGGACCCATAGTGGACCTCCCACCCTGAGCCCAGCTCTAAACTTCAGCTCTGGCTACAGCGAGAGTGAAGCGAACTGGTCCTGTTCACAGGGCTGTGCACTAGTGGGGAAGACAGCTTTCTCACCATCTCCTAGAGGAGCAGATCACCAGTGGCCATCAGGGCTAGGAAAGAAAGGCTCCCGGTTGGAGAGGCCGCATATGTACAGGAAGACCTGAGCCATTCATCTCTGCAGCAGGCCACTGATGAGAAATCTGGGCCACCAGGTCCCTCGACCAAGTGCCCTAACAGGCAGAATGGGGAGCAGGGGTCCCCAGCCATTCTTATGCCCCAAGTAGACGTAAGGCGGGCGAGAAATAATAGTTTGTTTCCAGGACCAGAACGAGGTACCTGGACAACAGATTCTGCATTCCCACCCTGAAAGGGACAAAGAGAACTCGTGCTCTGGAGGGCTGGATTCTTGCACATCTAGAACTCAGTGCAATGAATAATGGATAAAGGAAATCACGACTCAAGCCAGAAACCATTAAGCAAGCATGCTGTGTCCACGTAGGGTGGATCTAAGTCCACCAGGGAGGTCCGTGAGGGAGAAAGTCTCTTTCTGGACTCTGTGCAGACCTTCCTTAGCTCCAGCCCTGGCCCTGCTCCTAGGGTCATCATTTATTTAATGAATATTTAGCAAACACCTGGGTTGGGCAGAATACCAGTTGTCCTGCACATGCCTGGCGCAGAGCCAGGACTGTGTAAACACCGGGTCCTCTCCGTAGAGCTGAGGCCAAGGCCACAGATACAGCCAGACATGCCCCTCTCCTGCTGCCTGGGCAAGCTGCTTCCCTGAACCCCGGCTGCAGGAAACTCGGTACTGAAGCAGATCAGAGGAAGACTAGGCAGCTACTCTGTCCCCAGTGCTGGTCCCCACGGAGCCCCTGTGTGTCAGGTGGATCTCAGTTTCCAGGATTATGAGCAGGGGGTGGGGAGCCCTCCTCCCTCTGCAGCTGGTCTTTCTGCAGAGGCCGACATACCAAAGTTGCTCTCCCAGCCAGCCTCAACCCCCTCGCCCCTGTTCAGCTCTGCCTCCCCTCCCAACCCCTCATCTCAGCTTAGATGCTACATTTGGAGGAGGCCCCAGTCTGCCCAGGAACAGTGCAAGTTGGCTGCCAAGCTTCCCTGCATCTCAGCCCTTCCCCGCGATATTGGCATCCCAATTGGTACCCATGTGTTAGGACTGTGCCCTGCGGACTGCGGACTTCTCGGTGGAAGGCTTCTGTCTGTGATTCCTGTGTCCTGCATCTCATGATGAGCAGAGCATACAGGAGGTGCTCAATAAACACATGCTGAGCCAATGAGCACAGGCGAATGAGCAGAAGAAAACATCTTCTCGTCATTCATTTCTCATATGCTCATTTGTTCAGATGGCCACCTCTGCTGTCTAGCTGCCCGTCTGTCTCTCTTACACACACACACACACACACACACACACACACACACACACACTCCTGTGCACACACTCCCTCCGTCTGCCCACTTGCTTTCTCACACTCACCCTTCGTGCCGCGTCGTATCCCTTCTGGACTGTGTTCCTCCTCTGATGCTGCCTGGGTGGACAGACCCCTCTGCAGTCCATTAAATGGAAGAGTTTCTGACCTGAGCCCTGCAGGGGCCATGGGAGACCCTCCTGTCTCTGCCTCTGCCCCTCCCTCACATCTGCAACCACTCCAGAACGGATCCCACGTCTGTACTTCCTCGGACCCTCCCAGTGGTGCTCGGAGGTAGACAGGATGTCACGGACGCATTGTACAGATGGAAAAACTGAGGTCAGGGAGGCTGTGGCTTGCCGAGGTGGCAGAGCCAGAGCTGAGACCGGGCTTTCCCCACTCAGACCAAAGCCCTTTTTTGGTGGACTTCTGGGAGGCAGGGACTGGAGGATGCTGCCCATTCTGGGTCTTGGTACCTGTGGCACAGGAAGCAAGCCCTGAACTGGAAGCACCGTGAAGCCTCCTCTCCCCCTCACTCCCTCCTCCTCCAGAAAGTGAGAGCCTCTGCCACCATGGCCCCTGGCCTCCTGTGCACCCCTCTCCAGGCCTCCAGTAATTCAGGCCAGGCAGCCTGACACACTGCCCATCACCATTGTTCAATCCACCTGGGTATCTGCAGGGACAAGAATCCCCATTTCAGAAAGACAATAAAGAAGGATCAGGAGCCCCCCCAAAAAGCCTAAGAAAGGTAGTAAGCGCAATCTCGCCACCCCCATCCGTGCTGGCTACTGGATTTACCCAGGCGGGGTCCACTGGGCAGCCGGGTACCTGAGCCATGTCAGGAGAGCTGGCCACCCACAGCTTTATCTTCTCTCATTGCTATTTTTCAAATTCCCAGTCAAGGTTTTAGGGGCCTCCTTCCCTGAATATTCTGCCTGCTGCTTCCGGTGCCTCGTCCCCCAAAAGGACTCGTTCTTCCTGAAAGAGGGCATGAATATTTAAAGACATTATTTTCAGTCAATGGGACCTCATCATTCTGCTGCTCTCCCTTTAAATTTATCTCTAGAAAGTTTGCCTGAGTGTCTCTGAGTGGCCAAACCTCCCTCGTACAGAATATAAAATGGGGTCTTTGAGAAGTTATCCCCCCTTTTGCCAAGGGGACCAGGGCTGTTGGCCCTTTGTGGGGCTAATGATGCCCAGACTGTGCTAATTCTGGTCCCCAGCCATCCTTCCTGGGCTGCCTGGAGACTTAAGCCTGCAAACTCCCTGCCACCCCAGTGCTCAGAGAAGCAGGAAAATCAGACATGGACATGGGCAGGAGATAGGGAGGCACAGGGCTCCCAAAAGGCAGACAGAATGATGACCAAAGTCCCAGAAGCATGGGACCCTAGACCCCAAGAAAGAGCTCTTGGCACATGACTGCAAAGCTGACCCAGATTGTGGATTCACCGGTGCACAGTGGACTCAGGCCCCAGGCCCCCTCCAGCTGCCCCCTCCTGGGTCTGTGCTCTGCAGACCTGCTCACAGCCCCACCGCATCAAATCTCTCTTATCAACAAGACACAACACTCCCTGGGTAACTTCTTCAAACTCCAGTCACGCTAAGCCGCTTCCCGTGCTCTGGGAAGGGTTCTGTTCCTTTCCCCGCCCTTAACCAATCAGCCACACACCACCAACTCCATTTCCAAAGTTCCAGGCAATTATAACCGGCTGAGCTCCCTGGCGGGGTGCCCGCCTGCACAGAACCAGGACCCAGGTTGTCAGCAACCTCAGATCCCAGCCACCGATTTTCCACAGTCTCCTCCGAGAACTGGGCACACCACAACAGCCACACTGGCCACACCGAGGCAGCGTGACCTGTCAGATGACATCAGGACAGAGCAAGAGTCAAGGCCACTTTCCCTACCTTTGCTGAGGGTCCCGGTGATGAGCTTAAAGATGGTCTGGGCAAATTTCACGAAGCCGAGCTTGCATCTTCTGGAACAGCCGCTCATGGTGGCAGAGGGGAGACAGGCTCTGCTGTCAGCACCCAGAAGGGACAGCACCGTCCCCGAGTGCCCCTGGAACTCGGAGGCTGCCTAGGTGAACCCCGAGAGATGGGTGCACCCCAGAAGCCGGGCTCCAGGAAGAGTACAGCCTCCTCTGCAGCACGTCCAGCTTCTGCATCCAGAGAGCCTGCAGGGCGAACCCTCCTCCTCTCTCCACCCACTGCCACTGTCCACTCAAGTCCTCACCACGGGAGGACCTCGGGGTGCAGGGCTGGGACGGCACTGCCGGCACCAGGCGCTCACGGAACCACCGAGGAGGAGAGTGAAATTGAGCAGAGCAGGGAGGGAGGAGCTGAGCCCTCGCAGGCTTTGCTGACTGTCTTCCGAGCGAGCATGGCAGCGGTAATGTGGCAATTAATACTCCAGTCAGAGGGAGGGGACAGCCACGCAGCAAAAGCTCAGCCCCACCACCTCCCTCACTGGCTCTTCCGCTCCTTCCTTCCTGGTTAATCTAATAGATCAATTCTCTGTGCCTCCATCAGGACCTGGGAGAACTCCCCACAGAGATGAAGCCGCGGCTCGATCTGCTCTCAGGAGAAAGTTTGCAGGCAGCCCTGGGCGTCCTGGTTTGCATCGGGAAACTGGCTGAGTGGGGAGGCTCTGGGGGGCTGTCCTGTGCACATAGAGGAGACAGCCTGCTCCGCCCCACCCGCAGCCTCCACATAAGCAGCAGGTGTGGCCTCCTCCCTGTGTGGGAATGGCCAGTGTCACTGACTCCCTCCTCCTCGCTGCAGGTGCCCCACTCAAAGCCAACCGCTCAGTTCCAGGTTCCGCCCCTGCAGAGCAGGCCTGAGTCTGCTCTACCCCTGCAGGACAGCAGAGGATGCCACCAGGCTTGTCTGGATGGAGACAGTGTTGCTTAGAAAAGGGACACCCCCCCACACCCTGCGTTGAGATTTGACTACAATGCAACACCCTTAACAGCCGACCTGCAAGGCATTCTACAGATGAGGATCCATAATGGCTTGGCTGTTATTCAGGACCAGGATTGTGTGGGTGGGAAGGGACCACAGGGGACATCTCAGCCCCCACACCAGCCCCATTTTGCTTTCTTCGGTGAGTCAGAAGGCCCCTGTAATGACCAAGGGTGCCATCTGTGAACGCAGTGTGGCTGCCCCGAAGGTGGTCAGGAAATCCGCCTTCCTCTGACCTGAGACTGCCCTGGGACAGTCTTTCTCTTTTCCATTGCCTTCTCTTCAGGTGACCTGCTCGTGGGCTCAAGAGGAATGGATTGCTCAAGAACTGCAGAGCAGAGACCCCCGTGGACAAGTGTCAGACAAGCCAGACCCAGGCACCATGTCTTCGCTGTCCTCCCCTATCTTCTGGGAGTCTCATGGAAGCGTGTCTCGAAGCCACCATCCTTCAGGATGTCCCCAGCCCATTTTAGCTCCGGGAAGCACAGAGCCGAGCCCCAAAGCCCCCCAGCTTTGCCAGGTAGGTGTACCCAGCAGCTCAGGCAGAAGACACCCCACTGTGCCTGATGCCCTGGGGCGGAAACCCTGCCTTATTCACCGAGCTAGGAGGGTCTCTGTGCAGCTCCCTGAGCCTGATCAGCTGGTGGGAGTTCAAGGGCAAAAGAGGCTGGAGTCTGACCTCCTCTGGGCGAGGCGGCGGCAAAAGCGCACCTGCTCCAGCAGAATAGAGCCGCTCAAGGATCGAGATTGCACCCATGCCTGAATTTCTCCCTGCTCTCTTCATTCTGCTGCAACAGCCTATTGGATGGTGCCACCCACATTTAGGGCGGGCCTTCCCCCTAGTTGGTTGACCCACATGCAAATCATCTCTGGAACTGCCCTCACAAACACCCCCAGAAGTGAGCTTCTAATTTCGTGGTTATTTCCCGGTCCAGTCAGGTGGATGTCCAAGATTCACCATCGCCATAGCCTCTCCCTCTTGGGCTTGGGGACGTCTGAAGGAATTAATGTCATCGCAGTGTCTGGCACGGTCCAGGGCAGAGGCTGGCATGTCATGTGAAAGGTAAAGGTCATTGCTACTGCTTCTACTGGCCCTGCCATTACTGCCCCAGCTGCTTCTGTCCCCATAACAACTAACTCTTGTCCCACCCACACCCCGGGACAAGAGGCGCCCCCAGCCATCTGGATTCTTGAGCTCCTGCTGATGGCCTGGCCCTGGGAGAAGGTGGAGCGGGGCTCAGAGGGGCTTGATGCGGTATCTGTCTTCACAGAAACCGGTGCCCTATCATGGAGCATCCCAGGTTCCCGGAAGAGGAAAGGGGAGGGAGGATGCAGACACTGTAGAGGGAGGAAGAGAACCTAGAGGTGGAAACAACCAGTGTAGGGAAAGGGAGTGGGAACAGAGGGTGTGTAGGTGAACTTCACGAGGGATGGGATGCACAGAGCCAGCCTGCCCTTTGATCTCTCCTGGCAGCAACTCAAACTCTGCATTTTGGTTTCTCCTCTGATCTCTACAAGGCCATGTATGTTTGAACTCTTGGTCTTAGATGAATGAGTCAGGCCCAGACAAGATTGGCTGTAACCCAAAGATCACACAGCACAATCCCCCCCGCCCCCAGTAAGGCATGGTGTTCAATGGGCCATGAACATTCCTGAAGAAGGACGGCAAGTTGCAGCAGAGCCAGGTGGAGGGCAGGTGATGCCCACCTTCTGCATACTGGGTCTTTGTGAGAGCCCTGCCAGGCAGCCTTTGTTAAATTACCCTTCTGTGGATTTTTTTTTCAGGGTAAATGTCTCCATTATTTCTCCACAATGAGTTTATGATTGTAATGGACAGCAGAGAGGGAAAGCAACTTCTTGATGGCCACACAGCTTAAGCAGAATTTGAATCCAAGACCCTTTGACATTGGAGTCTAAAATTCATAGAAATTTATTTAATACCTCACCAGGATTCAGAATTAAAGGAACTGGCAGCTTTAGGGTGACACAGTGTGCTTGGATGTTAGAATCAGCTGTCCATTACAATCACAAACTCATTGTGGAGAAATAATGGACATATTTACCGTGAAAAAAAATCCACCCCTTATGGCCATGGTTATGGGGGTGAGAGGGGAGGTGGAAGGGGACATGGCTAGACAAGGGGTCAGCCACTGTCTAGCCAGGTGACAGACCAGATCAGCTGTTCTAACAGGGAGTTTCGTACAGAGCCAGGCTGGGCAGCACTGYAGACCTCAGATGGCTGAAAGGAACCCAGAGGAATCGTGGAGGGAGGGGCTGCACAAAGCAGCTGTCACCTCTGGAGCTGGGGCCACCGGAGGGACAAAGGACAGAGGCTGGGATCCCCTGCACCTAGAACCCGGGCAGAGGCACCCTGTGAGGCCGAGACCCTGACCTCCAGGTGGGTGCACCAGTGTCCCCGAGGTGGGATGAGGTTGACACAGTAATGACAATCATGAAAGGTTCTGGGACCGAGAGCTCCCGCTGGAGACCACTGAGGTGGGGGGTAAGGAGGCACGGCTGCGGCGGGCAGGGGCTGGAAGCACCTGTCCTCCCACAGCGCCTCCCTCTCCCTGTCAACAGAGCTGGCCGCAGGGCTGCTGGCAAAGCAGACCTGTGGTTTTCAGTCCCAGCCTCCGCATTCCGGAGCAGAGAGAAGGGAGCCCTTGACTCGGAGGTCAGTGGCGTCATCCTCAGCCCAGACCAGCTGCCGACTAAAGTCACATCCGCTCACTAACAGATATTTACTCAACACCTACTGTGTGCCAGGCGTGCGGGCCGCTGGTGGAGAAGACAGAACTCCTTCCTTCGTGGAAACTGCTCTCTAGAGGGTGAATGGGGGGCAGGAGCGCTGAGGCTGTAAACCACGGAATTCATAAAGGGGAGAGCAAAAATGCTGGGCTGCAAATCACAGAACCCTTGACCAGTCTGTGCTTTTGAATCGGCAGTCAGGGATGTCCAGATCCCCTGTCAGTTCCTGAGACAGCCACCATGAAGTAGAAAAGGGCAGATTCCATAGGCATCATGATCATTATAAAAGTATCACCCAGATTTGTTGCTGTGGGACTAGAGGCTGTTAGGAGTGTTCTACAGAGGAGAAGGTAGAGGGTCCTGCAGATTAAGCGATTGATCTCTGGGGAAGAGGTTGAATCAGCAGGACTAGTGACTGGTGGGAGGAGAGCTGAGGGGTGCCTGGCAAAACCCACCAGCAGTGTTAGAAACAGAAATAGGAAAGGAAGGAAAAAGAAGATCAAGTCTGGGGAGGAGATGGTTATAGATTTCATGTCTTGGGGAGAGAAATGTCCAACTAGCAGATAAAAATGGAGGCGAGGAGCTCAGGAGACCAGGTAGGAACTGTAATTCTTATAAATAAATGATTCCTGTTGCTGCTAAGGAAGAAAATAAATGTTGCATCCCAGCCTGCCCCAAAGATTAGCATTTAAATACAGGCTTACACAGGTGGGTAGAAAAGCCCATTTCCTAAGAATTAAATCAGATTTTATTTTTCCTCTAAGTCTCAGAAAAAATCAGTTCTGCTTGAATGTGGGCCTCAGAGAGGAATCCGCCTTGCTCTTGGGCACGCCAGCTCCGCATCCTCAGGGGGAGTTTGTATCTTCTCCCTGTTATAATTGTGAGAAAATGATGCGTGAGGAGCCAGGGGCCATCCATCAGCACTGCTTGCTGGGGTTCCAAGGCTCACTGCGCCCAGAGCAGGGCACCTGGTGGTGGGATCTCCAAGCGCAATGGCTCAGCCACCCGCAAGTCTGCAGGGCCCAGCCAGGCGGGGTGGGGGAGCCACGGTTTTCCCACAGAACTGGCAAGAAGGACAAGTGCAGCTGTAGGGGCTGCTGGTGCCAAGATGTCAGAGAGCAAGGAGGCTCTGAAGCTGCCCTTTCTCTTCCTAGTGCCCCAACTGCCCAGGGTCTTTAGAGAACCCCAGCATTGATCACTGACGTCCTGCTCAGTGGTATCGCCTGCCCCCATGTGCACCCCATGCTAAGAGCTTACTCGGTCCTGGACTCCCCATGGGAATCCTGAAATGTAACCATGGATGGAGAAGAACGGGTTTAAATGGGACACCAAGGGCCACCCATGTGGGTGCTGGCTGTTCCCACTGTGACCCACAGAAAGTCCTACGAGACAGATTAGTTTCTCCTCTGCTTTCTAGAGATACTGATGCAGGACACAGCACCACAGAGCATGATAGGGGCTGGGTCTCCACTCCTAGAGGCAGATGCACTCTCTATGCTACTTTTCTCCGACTTTCCTATCAAATAGTCTTTCCCTGTGTCTCAGCCATGCAGGACTCTGCTTGCTCCAAATGGCTCAGCTGCCTTCTCCCGTGTTCTCTAGCTCAGTCACATCCAGCCTGCAGGAGAACCCAGGGTGGAACAGTCCCCTCTCACCCTCTC